GTGATATGTTTTCTATTTCAACGACTCAATTGACGGATGCGTGGATTCTTGATTCTGGATGTTCTTATCACATCACGCCAAATAGGGAATGGTTTTCGACATACAGGTCGGTTAATTATGGTTCTGTTTATTTGGGTGATGATCGATGTTGCAATATTGTTGGTATTGGTGATGTCAGAATTAAGATGTATGATGGCTCTGTTCGGACGTTGAGTGGTGTTCGACATATCCTAGATTTGAAGAAGAATTTGATTTCTTTGGGCACTTTGCACAAGAATGGTTTTATCCCTAAGGCTGATGAGGATATGGAAACCATTCGGATTGTTAAAGGTGCTTTGACTGTGATGAAAGGAAAGATGACTGCAGGAAATATTTATAGATTGTTAGGGAGTACCGTTGCAGGTGGAGTTCATTCTGTTGAGTCCTGTGATGATACTACAAAACTGTGGCATATGCGTCTTGCTCATCTTAGTGAACGTGGTATGACAGAATTACACAAAAGAAATCTGTTGCATGGTGTCAAAAGCTGTAAGCTCGATTTTTGCAAGTATTATGTTCTTGGTAAATAGACTAAAGTCCGTTTCAAGACTGCGAGGCACACAACTCAAGGGATTCTTGATTATGTGCATTCTGATGTATGGGGGCCTTCCACGACATCGTCTTTGGGTGGATCTAGGTATTATGTTACTTTTATTGATGATTTTTCACGGAAAGTTTGGGTGTATTTTTTGAAACAGAAATCTGAAGTTTTTGAGAAGTTCAAGCTGTGGAAAGCTGAGGTGGAAAACCAAACAGGATGAAAAATCAAGTGTTTGCGGTCTGACAATGGTACGGAGTACACAGATTCATAGTTCTTACACTTCTGTAAGGAGCACGGGATTAAGAGACATTTTACAGTGCGCAAGACACCACAACAGAATGGTGTTGCGGAACGGATGAACAGGTCGTTGAATGAAAGAGCCAGATGTTTGCGGTTGAATGCTGGGCTTCCCAAACACTTCTGGGCCGAGGCTGTTAACATGGCGTGTTATCTTATCAACAGATCGCCAAGGGCATCATTGGCTGGGAAAGTTGCAGAAGAGGTATGGACTGGTCATGATGTTAGTTTTGATAACTTACGGATTTTTGGTTGTCCTGCTTATGTGCATGTACCTGCTGATGAGAGATCCAAACTTGATGCAAAATCGAAGGAGTGCATTTTTCTGGGTTACAAGAAAGGTGTCAAAGGATTCAAGTTCTGGGATCCAGTTGCGAAGAAAATTGTGATCAGTAGAGATGTTGTTTTTGATGAACAATCCATGTTGCAACAGAAGAAAGACACGACAGTGGTGGATTTCGAGGAGTTTCCAGTTGAGAAACCAGAAACTTCTCAACCGACTTCTGGTGGTTCCACTACGGATGATTTGCATGATTATAGTCTCGCCAGAGATAGGGTGAGACGGACGAATATAAAGCCTCCGAGTATATTGGGTTTTGAAGACTTGGTCTCTTTTGCACTTATTGTTAGCAGTGATGATCCGGTTAATTTTCATGATGTTGTTACTAGTCAGGAAAACGACAAGTGGATGGCAGCCATGGTTGAGGAGATGGAGTCTTTGAATCACAATCGTACATGGGAGTTGGTTCGCCTTCCTGATGGTAAAAAGCCGATTGGTTGCAAATGGGTGTATAAGAAGAAACCAACAGTAACAGAAAAAGAGGGGGAGAAGTTCAAGTTCAAGGCTCGTTTGGTAGAAAAGGGTTTTTCACAGCAGAAAGGAGTTGATTATGATGAAATTTTTTCTCCTGTGGTCACGCACACTTCAATCCGAGCAGTACTTGTATTGGTGGCCAGTTGGGATTTGCATTTAGAGCATATGGATGTTAAAACTGCTTTTTTGCATGGTGATTTAGAGGAGCAGATCTACATGCGGCAACCTGAAGGTTTCACTCAACCTGGAAACGAGCATTTAGTTTACAGATTGAAGAAATCTTTGTACGGGTTGAAACAGTCTCCGAGACAGTGGTATAAACGGTTTGACTCCTATATGATCAAGATTGGCTACAACCGATGTGAGTATGATTGTTGTGTCTATGTTAAGAGCCTTGATGATGGTTCTTTTATTTTTCTATTACTGTATGTTGATGATATGTTGATTGCTGCGAAGAACATGGATGATGTTATCAGTTTGAAAACTTTATTGAGTCAGGAATTTGATATGAAAGATTTAGGTGCTGCAAAGAAAATTCTTGGAATGGAAATTTGTAGGGATAGAGACTCAAGGAGACTGTGGCTATCTCAACGAGGTTATGTTAAAAAAATGCTAGAAAGGTTTGCGATGAGCAGCGCAAAACCAGTTAGCACTCCATTGGCGAACCACTTTAAGCTCTCATTAGAACAGTGCCCTAAGACAGATAAGGAAGCTGAAGATATGGCAAAGGTTCCGTATTCTAATGATGTTGGCTGCTTGATGTATGCAATGGTATGTACTCGTCCTGATTTAGCTCATGCTGTTAGTCAAGTTTGTAAGTACATGTCTAAACCTGGTAAGCAACATTGGGAAGCAGTCAAGTGGATCTTTCGATACTTAAAGGGTACTGTGGGACATGGAATTGTTTTTGGTAGTCAACGAGATAATCCTTTGGTTGTAGGATATGTGGATTCAGACTATGCAGGTGACTTGGATAATAGAAGATCTACGACAGGGTATGTTTTTACTCTTGGTGGAGGACCTATTTGTTGGAAGTCTACTGTTCAATCTGTAGTGGCACTATCTACAACTGAAGCTGAGTACATGGCAGCGGCTGAAGCTGCAAAAGAAGCTTTATGGCTCACTGGTTTAGTGAAGGAGTTGGGTGTTCAGCAAGGTGGAGTTCAGCTGCTTTGAGATAATCAAAGTGCTATTTACTTAGCTAAGAATCAGGTATATCGTGCTAGAACTAAGCACATTGATATATGTTTTCACAAGATCAGAGAGTTGGTTGCATCTGAAGAGATTTTGTTTCAGAAGGTACACACTGATGAGAATGCCGCTGATATGTTCACCAAGCCAGTTACGACAGACAAGTTCAAGCATTGCTTGGACTTGTTGAATGTTTCAAGTTGTTAAAGAACTAAGGTAACCCAACCTACATTGAATGTTTCCTAAGGGGCAGGATATTCGCCAAGGTGGAGATTTGTAAGGTATGGCTCATAAATATACCGGTAAAGAGGACAGGGGATGGAGCGGAGTGAGCGAAGCGAACATCAACTGTCCTTACAAAGAAAGTCTCGTAGAGGGGGTTACGATTATGTGGGTTGGTGGTGCGGGGGGTGCGGCCCTGCGGTACGGTACAGGGTTAATTTTGTAATTATGTACCAGGGTTTTCTATTATAAATAGAGATGTAACCTAAACGAATTGAATAAAATTTTCTAGCGCCGCCTAGGCACCGAGGACGTAAGCACATTGCCGAACCTCGTTAAAATTCTTGTGTTCTTTCGTTTACTTTGCCCGATTTATCAACACTTGTACATGACTTTGCTGAAGGCAATGGGGAATGGAACATTAATCTCTCGCGGTTACACCTTGATGAAGAGACGGTGTGACATATTACTGCCATCCCTGCCCCTAGCGACGATATGGGGGAAGATCAACCCCATGTGGAGGTGGAACCACAAGGGTGTTTGCATGGTCAACTAGACTTTCCATGAACTGAAGAACATCGATTGGATTTGAAGGATAAGATTTGGAACATTGCCTGGGATCACGATAGACTGCAACAAGTGAAGCAATATCTCTGACTTGTTCTTCATAACGGGCTTATGACTAACACCGAGAGAGTGAGATGAGGTTTATGCACGGATCCTAGCTGCCTGGTGTGTCATAATGGGGAAGAAACCATAACCATTTTCTTCGCGAGTGTCCGACGGCGAGAATGGTTTGGGAGCAATTTATTCCAAACAACGCTTTATATATATATATATATATATCTAACCTTTTCACTTCCACGGGGCTTGATCGAGATTCTTATCATTAGAGGCATTTGTTTGGGATAATTATTTGGAGATAATGGAAACAACGTAACGCTTTCATGTCTAATGGACAAGTGTGGTCGTCGACGGAGATCGATCAATCTGTTAGACGTGGGCTCAAACTATTAAATCCAATCAAGAAGCTAATCTTCCTAATGCTGTCAAACAAAACACGATACAAAGGTGGCGCCCATCCAGAGTTGGAGTGGCTAAACTCAACACTGTCAGAGCTGCTAATCGACGAACCATGGAGGTGACAGGTGATGGAGTTCTTAGAGATAGCAATGATCAATGGCTAGCTGGCTATCATAAGAACATTGGGAGGTGCTCAGGTGAGATCTGGGCTTTATTCGATGGTTTCACGCTAGCCTGGAACAATGGTATTCAAGACGTTGAGGTGGAAATTGACAATGAGGAGGCTGTGACTACTCTAAACGGTGCTCCCCATATGCACGAGGCCTCTTTGATTCAAAGAGTTCGTAGCTTGTCCAGAGGCAATGAAACGTAAAGCTCTCCTACATTAGACGAGAAGTTAATGAAGCTGCAGATGCAATGGCACATATTAACAGAAATGGGAGGCTGGGGCTTGAGGTTTTCAATAACCCGCCTGCTGAGATCAGGCAAGTCCTCAATCGAGAGGAAACAGCTTTAAGTTGAGGCTTCTCACACTGCTTTGCAGTGTTTTATTGTTACCAAAAAAATCAGTTCTATTTTATTAAGAAAACTTAAAACTGTGTTGGGCTATAGTAATGAAAAATATTAATAAATTACCGATAGAGATTAGTTCAAGCGGTAAGCACCTTAATATCATTTAAGTTAGATCTTAGGTTCGAGTCTTTATGTATGCAGAAAATCTTCACTGCGAGATTCACCCCACCAAAGTCAGGTGTATGATCCGAATCGATCCAGATTAGTCAGGACGAAACCTTGAAACTAGAGGGAAAAAAATAACTATTAATAAATTCACGAGAAAAAATACATTGAAACACATAAATATGAACAATAGTCTAACAATAATATAACACATTTCCATAAAATATATAGTATATAACAATGATTTATACAGTTTGTGCTTATTATCCAGGTAATATTATTGCAAAATCTAGTTACAATTACAATTGCTCAAATATATTCAACCCTTCATTATTACTTATCCGGACTCATGGCCGAGTCCATATATGCCCGATGTCCGATATAGAAAAAATTTTGTATTTAGAGATCATACCACATACTCGTGTTAGAATATGTGCAGGACATAAGTGTTACAGATACTTCGTAAAAGGTAAAGTCGGTAAGAGAAATGGTAAATCATCCGCAAGGTGGAGCTTCGAAGTTGGGGAATACTATGAATGCGATCGACAAAGGCGAGATGGATATCGGAGAATTCACATTAACACGGACAGGGTTTAGCGATGGCATGTTTCCAGCCTCGGTAAATTCCAAAGGGATGCCGTTGAGAACCATAGTTTGGCTTTGAAGGTAGCCGTCTTTAGGAGTTAAATGATACTCCTCTCGGAATAGTGCTTCATCGGAAGCTTTGGTTCCTACCCAGGAAAATGTTTTCTTGAGAGTATGTGCGAAGCCGCCCCGACTAATGTTCTGTTCACTCACAGCCAACTTCAGGCTGATGCTGTTTTGAACCTTCATTATGAAATTCGTTTGATTGCTCAAGTTGATCACCAGTAAAGTTACACCAGCCTGCAACAAGATGTCCAGAATCAAGGTCATAGTCGAGATATTTTCATCTTCGAAGGATTGTTTTATTTATGGGGTGTTTTGGCGGGGGGGGGGGGAGGGATGAAAATAATCATATCGGAAAGTACGAGTCTGTTGCAGACATTTCCAACACGGTCCATTCATGTCGATAAGTTGATGACACTTACCGGAGAATCCATGTTACATGCAAACCAAATTAAAGAACAACTGGTATAAAAGCAAATTTTCGACTTACTCTTCCTTTGGAGCAATGAGCATAGGATCGTAGAAACGGCGAAGCATCACTTTCAACAGACAGAACCACTTTTCCCATCAACCGGTGCCATAGAAGCACACTGTTCCGGACCATCCAAAACAAAAAAAAGTATAAGGGCTCTTCATACCAGTTCAGCACAGTTGTATATGAGATAAGTTTTCGATATCCTCCACTTTGATCGAACATTTAAATGATGCAAAAGAAAAACTCGGATAAAGAAATTTCAAATCTCAAGCTCTTGCCTGTAATAATCAGGGTTCGGAACAAATGTTGTCGCATTGAGAAGACCATAGTTCCCACCGATCAGTGTTTGCCTACAATATACTTTAGTATGGTATTTTGACGACATTCCGAGTTGATCTAAATACCTAAAATCGTGTACAATAGAAAGGAAACTTGAGTATTCATATATGAAAACAATGTATAAGTAATAAAACTTGATTTTTCTACATATTTAAGGCAGCCGAGAAAGTATGATTACCAGAAGCTGTTGACGAATGTATTGGACACGTGAGCACCGCCGCTGTTATATGCCCCACCAGACTCTCCAACCCATGCAGAAGACCAAGGACCGTGCCTCCGGATGACATGTGTAAGATTACCGAATGTATATGCTGCCTTGTTTAAGTGGTCGGGATTCAATATCTTACTAACGAGTTTCGGATCAACACCTGAAATACAAACCGGGATTAAAAATTAACTGTAGGATGGATCAAATAGTAAGACATCCCATACATTTGAACCCATCAGGATTATCCGAACGCACCTGCACCCAAATTGTACATATGGTGGCTCATGAAATCGAGCACACGTGAGCCTGAGGTCAGAAGAAGCTTGACGAACCACTCTTCTTCAAAGAATCCTCCGGGAGCTACGAGAGAAGGTTTAGATTGTGAACCTTCGTACAACTCATTTATAATTTTCTTTAGTTTGATCAAGTCTTTTCCATACTGGTCAGCGAGAACATGTGCACCAATACCATGTCCGCTCAACTCGTTACCTAAAACAACAACGGAAAACATCAGAGGCGGTAAGAGAATATCATATGGAAGTATAATTGCAAAGCGCTTCGTCCAGGATTCTTTACCGAATTCCCATGAATCTATGTGGTATCCCTTTGAAATGGTGTACTTCAAAAAATCTTGCGCATTGCTAGAGTCCCAATCCCCTCCCCAAAGGCTCCTCTTAATTTTATGTCTCCCGTGGAGAGCGTTCAGGCCGAACGTCACTAGTACACTGCAAATGTAAGATTCAAGTGAGTGTTGAATCGGTCTAAGCCAGTTGATCAGTTGAAATGGTATTTTAACTAACAGTGTGAGCACCAATGGACCTTGAAATCTGAGACTCTTACCCAGTTTCTTTGAAGAAACGGTTGAGTTCATCCCACCTCTCCATGTGTAAACATCCCTTCGAAAATCCGAACAACCCGTCTTTCATCTTCTGGAATGGATGGCAAGGAGACTTCAAATTCCCGACATCGTACAACACTTGATCTTGCAAAGAGCCTCCAACTCTTATCCTCAAATTGTTGAAAGCTAACAGTGTGGAACAGAGTAGCATCATGCTTCGGGACATGAAAATTCAACGACATACTCATAAATATATCGCTTTGACTCTTCGTTTTACTTAAAATCTCCATGTCCGACACATATTCGGATGTGGGTTCAGATATATGACTGAAAAAACTTAAAAGAAAGATTGAACAAAACCATGCCGTACACATGCTTGTATCCGACACTCATACCCAAGTTTGAGTAACATATAATATCTTTCACTAAGTGATCTACAAATACAAACCTCGGACAGCTTCGGCAAGGAAAGGATGAGACAAGTTCTGTCGGAAAAAAAACACCAGCAGATTGAACAGTTACCATTAAGTGTTTTGATTTTTCGAATAAGCTTAACCGAATGAGTGGACACAATTCAAAGAAAAACCATTTAATCCTATGAAGAAGTTAGCTCTACTTAAGCCTCACCAGATTAGTTACCGATGTATAGTGCCATGGACACTGGTCGTAATCACACTTATCATGAGGCCACCAATCGATCGTAGCACAGACGAAATTATCATCGGTTTGAGCAACAGTCATAGTTCCATCGACCACAATCGATCCATGACTAATATCATGAGCAAAAATCACCGGAATCAAAGTCAAAAATAAGAACAAACCAAACTGCAGTTCCATTCGGTAAATTGATTGTAACAGCCTCTCTTTCACCTCGGTGTATTAACTGTGACACAATGATATAAATAGTATCAGAAACAGAAATTGAACATCTATGGTAGCATTTTGTATGAAATGAGTTATATCAGAAGTATATTTCAAACTCTAAAAAAGGCGAAAACATTCAAGTTTCAGACAGGAAGATGTCCAAAACTACAGAGTTTATCACCTGTCTTTCCGGATTATAAAACTTGTAACAAATCAAGCTTAAGACCTTGGTCAGCCGTAAAAAATGCGTAAAAGTTTTACGTTGTGTCAATGGATCTATGTATATACTGAGATTATTATCAGCTGCAGATTTTATAGGACTGTGTTTAGAACAGTCAGAGAAACATAGTCCTATAATAACTGCGGCAGATAACAATCTAATTTAGCATTTTCCAAGTAACTTCATGAAATGGCATATGTGAATCTATAGCTTCAGTGGAACTACAGCAAAATACACCATCAACAATCTTTGAATGATGAACATACATACATACATACATCAGATCTTAAAATATCAAAAGCATCCTTAAAAGCCAGAAGAAAGGAACCAAAAATGCTTTATTTCTTCTTAAAGAAGTAGCAGATCCAAAAGCAATCAAAGTTTGAAAATTTAACAATATTAAAAACAACCCATTGATTAAAATAGCCTAAAATTTCCCAGAAAACAAAGAACGCATTCAATAGGCATAAAAGCAACGACAAAGCTCAACTCAAACAGATATATCACAAAAGGGGAAACCCCAGAAAAGAAACTAACCTCCAAAAGAAAATAAGCTAGAAACAGGCACTGGAACAAAAGCAGAAAAAGAGGGAAAATGCAGTGAAGTTTTTCATTTTTCCTTGGAAACAAACAGACCCACCAATAATGTGTGAAAAAGGCTGTAGTTTTATTTTAAGCCAAAATGGAAGGATTGATCAGTTTCTGATGACTCCTTATCCTTGGGGGTGCTGTTCTTTTTCAATGGCAAGATAAACAACCATGTTTGGTGAAACGGGTGTGAGTCAGATTTGTCGGTTTGGCTAAAAATTCATGTTAAGGGACCAAATAAGATTCTTGTCCGAAAACTCAACACTTGGCGATAAAGGGAAAACAGTAAATTTTTACTTTTTCTAGTCCAACCACAAGCAATTTAGCACTTGCAAGAAAAATGATGCAACTGCTTCTTTACTGGGAGTAGGTGTGGGGTCAGACAACAGTCAATTTCGTTACACCAGAAATATATATATATATACACAACAGAACTTAAATAATATTCATCATTAGTTCTAAGCTTACATGGTATAACCATATAATTCAAACGTATATTATCTTTTAATTAAAAATTTAAACAGATGTTTAGATTAAATAATTTTCATAATTAAAGAGATGTTTGCTATCTTTAAATTTTTAGAGTTTGATAACCACATTTAGAGATGTTTAAATATTTGTTGTCAAGTAATTGATAATGTTTCTAATATATATTATCTTGTAATCACCTCAAATTATTTTAAATTCATATAAATTAAAAGAGTACATCATATAAGTGTATCTTTATATATATATATATATATATTATTAATACTTAGATATAAATTTATTTAAAAAATAATAATAGGAATATGAGATGGATAAGAAGCTTTTAATGTTGATTAAGATTCCAAGTTTTCTTAAAAGGGGCTGCAGTTGGCTTTAAATTGAAGTAATGCCTTCACCAAATCTTTACTTATACTTTGGGACATTGGTTTAGTTCACTGTCTTTACGTCTTTATACGTATGGTCGGGGTTCTAATTTATTAGGTAAGTCACCAGATTTGTTACATCTAGATTGTATAAAGTTTCTTTACGATGATTAATTTATATTTATATTTATATATCTATATATATATTTATCTTTTTATAATTAAATTATTTTTAATTTTGAATATTTTGCTCATTTTATTAATAGATTCAAATTAACCAACGTGGTTGATTCAAGTGGTAAGCAGTTTGATATCACTTAAACAATGCCTCATATTTGAGGCATTGTGTATGCAAAAAATCTCCTTTGGGAGACTCACACACCAAAACTAGGTGTGAGACCCGGGTCGATGGTCGATCCAAATTAGTCACGACGAAGCCTTGGAACTTGAGGACAAAAAAAAATAGATTCAAATTTAAAAATCTATTTTTTATATTATATTTAAAAAATATTATTTTTATAAAAATAAAAGAAAGGAACTATCATGATCAAATATGAGGCGATTTTCCCGATATATCACTGGTGAACAGTATAATTCCTGATTTAACACCGGTCAGATTATATTTTTTGATCTAGCACTCTTAGCAGTAAAGCGCGCCCCCTGTACCGCGTTATATGATGATTTGGCGCCACATGGGTATAGCGCGCCCCCTATCCCGCGCTATACGGTGATCTGGCATACACGTGGGTATAGCGCGACCCCTGCAGCGCGTTATATTTGGATATCTGACACGTGAGGTATAGCGCGGTGCAAGGGGCGCGCTATACCCCTAATTACCGGTCCCATATGACAAGTCTTCTGACGCTACAGTAACCAGCACTTGCCCAGTAGCCCCCATTAACCATCCGCTTATACAAATAATAAAAAATATTATTCTTAATATAGTTTTTGTTTTTAATTCAAATGTGATCAAACATATTTTGTAACATTTTGTTTTATTAATTTTAAAGTATGTATTTTTTATTATTAAAAATAAAAAATTTTAATTGTACGAATGCTAGTTTTTTCGAGTGTAAATAAATAATTCATAAGATAAAAGTTGAAAAACGAAAATAAATACCTCTAATAAGAAAGATCAAAATACTTGAATCTAACGAATCTCGACCCGACCTTACAAAAGCAGTTTTTTTTAAAATTTTAGGGTTCAGGGTGGGACGGAGCCGGGTATATACGTGTATATATATATAGATAGAATAATAATTTATATCAGGTTGGGTCGGATTGATTTTTTAAAATTAAAAAAAACTACTTTTGTAAGGTCGGGTCGAGATTCGTTAGATTCGAGTATTTTAAAATTTTAGGGATCAGGGTGGGACGGAGTCGGGTATATACGTGTATATATATATAGATAGAATAATAATTTATACCAGGTTGGGTTTGATTGATTTTTTAAAATTTAAAAAAAACTGCTTTTGTAAGGTCGGGTTGAGATTCGTTAGATTCGAGTATTTTAAAATTTTAGGGATCAAGGTGGGACGGAGCCGGGTATATACGTGTATATATATATAGATAGAATAATAATTTATATCAGGTTGTGTCGGATTGATTTTTTAAAATTTTAAAAAAACTGCTTTTGTAAGGTCGGGTCGAGATTCGTTAGATTCGAGTATTTTGATCATCCTTATTAGAGGTATTTATTTTCGTTTTTTTCACTTTTATCTTATGAATTATTTATTTATACTCGAAAAAACTAACATTCCTACAATTAAAAATTTTTATTTTTAATAATTAAAAATACATACTTTAAAATTAATAAAACAAAATGTTACAAAATATGTATGATCACATTTCAATTAAAAACAAAAACTATACTAAGAATAGTATTTTTTATTATTTGTATAAGTGGATGGTTGATGGGGGCACTGGGCAAGTGCTGGTTACTATAGCGTCAGAAGACTTGTCATATGAGACCGGTAATTAGAGGTATAGCGCGCCCCTTGCACCGCGCTATACCCCACGTGTCAGATATCCAAATATAGCGCGCTGCAGGGGCCGCGCTATACCCATTTGTATGCCAGATCACCGTATAGCGTGGGATAGGGGGCGCACTATACCCACGTGGCGTCAAATCGGTGTATAGTGCGATACAGGAGACGCGTTTTATTACTAAGGGTATTAGATCAAAAAAATATAATCTGACCAGTGTTAGATCAAGAATTATACTATTCATCGGTGATATATCGAGAAAATCGCCCAAATATGAGACCTAATGTTAATAAAAATTAAATTAATATTCTTTGTCGTTCTTTTCGACACAGACATGTTGATATGTTTTCTTGGGTTTATTAGTTACAGATATTTAGTACTTTAAAATAATTAATAAATAATTTAAATAGTATTCTTTAATTTTTTTTATTAAAGTAATATTTAAATTTAGATTGTAGAGTTGATTTATAAATCTAAAGTTTACCATAAGAAAAAAAAGGTAAATTACACATTTAATATATAAATTATCAGTTTTATTTTATTTTAGTACATAAACTTTCAATTTTTTCAAAATCATATCCAAAGTTTAATTTTTATTTCATTTTAGTACCTCGTTCAAAGTTTAACGCTAAGTTTTGAAAAAAATAAAAGTATATGTACTAAAATGGACTAAAATTTATAGTTTATGTACTAAATGTGTTAAGTTCTTAACGATGGGATACTAAAATGAAACAAAAACTAAATGTTATGTATGATTTTGAAAAAATTAAAAGTTTAGATATTAAAATAAATCAAAACTAATAATTTAAATACTAAAAACGTAGTTTACCCAAAAAAAAATAAAGTCGGTGTTGGGCAAATTGTACTTGATGATGTGCTTGGAAAACAAAACAAAGAAAAAGTTGAACCTCCAATAAGAAGAAAGGATGATTACCTTTTTTCTTTATCTTTTTAACAATAAAGTTGTCTTTTTTTTATATATATTTTAATCTTTTTAACAATAAAGTTGTCTTTTTTTTATATATATTTTAATCTTTTTAACAATAAAGTTGTCTCCTGTTTCCACCGAGTTGCAAGTTGGGGTACTTAATTTCAGCAACTAAAAAGTTAATGGTTTTGGAATTTGATTTCATCTGTTCAATTGAGTGTTATATATATATTATATAGTTTGCGCGGTAAAACTCACGTAATAATGTATTGGAAAAAAAATTCACAAGATATTACTTTCGAATAATTATTATTGAAATAGAACGATTGTTACAGTAATTATGTTGGTCGTCAGGTGATCCAAACGACCTATTTAGGTTGCCATGCAAGCTGTGCGCCATTGTTGGTCGCCATGCATGCCATGCCATATTCTATCAGATACTGCTTAGTTCAAAGCGAACAGTCAGGGAAGAATTGAGGTTTTCATTTTAGCATTATATTAAAGTGTAAGGTGTAAGAGCATTATATTAAAGTATATAATATTTATTAAATCCATTAATAATAAAATATTATTATTATTATTAATGGTTCAACACTTGGGCCACATGGGATATATTGATTGTTAGACACCATATTATTATTGTTATGGTAAAGTATATAAATATTTATTAAATTATATTAAAATAATATTTTATTATTGAACCCATTAAGTAGTTTCAATGATCAATGAGAATATTGTTTTCCCTAGTAATCATGGGTTCGAGCAACTCTTTCTACAGGGTGTGTACGCGTTATTAATGGTTAACTTCCGACCTTAAATAATTGTTAATTTTCAACGAAATGAATAATCGGGATCATCTGTGTACTTTTTACTCTTATTATAAATATATTGATCAAATTAGTATAAAATGATCACTAAAACTTATCAAACTATTACAAGTGATCTTTAAACTTACTAAAATTTGTAACTATTTTGTAACACGCAATGACCATTTTATAATGGCTTGATAAATTTAATGATTATGTTATAAAAAACATCAATAACCAAAATATTTTTTACCACAATTTAATGATCATTTGTGTACGTTATCGTTGTTTATGATTATGTTATAACAAACATCAATAACCAAAATATTTTGTGAATTGATTGTCTTGACGTACCGTGTTCATACTATATATGCATTTTATATAGTTTGCGCTATTATTTTAATTCTAAATAATTTATGTATTCTATTCAAAAAAATAATTTATATATTTATATTATTTTATTCATCTAATATTTTTCTATAATTTATGATATCAAATTACATTAATGTTAGCATTAATTAAACTACTGAGAGTTTATTATACAAGCTGGTATAATATTATTAACTATTTATGTAACTACATGAATTTTGTATGTATTGTATAAATATATTATTGAAAATTTGTTATACAAACTGGTACAGCAGTATTATAGTTGAGCAGTTACGTACAGATATGTAAC